AGCTCCTGTAAGATGTGCTTGGACGACATATGAACCTACCAGACTGTCACCTACAATTCCAGCCTACACATTAATCGTAAACTGATGCTGGTTCCTAGCATATATTGCATATTGTGGATTCTGATTCATCCGCAAAGGTTGTTCTTTTTTTTAATTTGTTATTCCATCTCTTCCAAGTCTCATCCATAAACAAGACTGAAGTGACAAACAACGGATCAGCAACGTACGATACAAAGCAGCAAATGTTGGACGTCTCGGCAACCTTCGGTCTGGAAAGACAACCTGATACAGCCGTAGAATTTTGTGTCAATTAACATTCGAGATGCCGTATGCACAAATATTATCTGCCTGCTCACGATATGAATATCCAGCCATTTTTAAACAGAGCATTGCTCATTTAAATCAATACAACAAACATTAAACTTTGAAGACAGAATAAACACAAATCTAACATATATCAGATGGCAACATATCGCCATCTATCGTGAAGTTTCTTTAAACTCAAGTATTCAAAAAAGAAAGACTTGAGGACATATGCTTATATATTAGTGTGTTAGAACCCATCTTCAAAGTTTGTAACAGTATTTTGACACAAACTGTATATAAATAAGCGTCTGTGTGTATTTCATTATTTCAGCATATTCAAAATATTATTCCAGTCGACATATTTGTATACTCGCCTGTATATTCAAAACGACATATGCAAAACCATACATATTATAAGAAAAGGGCATTTGAAATATCTCGGAAACTCAATGAGGAAGGAAGGCTTAGAAACTTAGACTCTCACAGAGCATATTGAAAGCTATAGTGGGCAAAGGGCTACGATCCTATCTAAAAAGCTAGAGCGTATGAAAATATAAAAATGAGCCCGGATGTCAAGATCGCATTGCAACATAATTTTTGAGGTTTTGTCTTTAATGAGGTTTCTCTAATAATAATGCCAGTAGATTAAAATCAATATCTGTTCAAAATAACCATGACATGTTCTCAAATAAGCTATCCACTAAGAATAACTGTTTAAGTGATATAGATCTGTCTGATTTGTATGCAAAATCCATTACTTCTTTAATAATTGCTTTGTAACAAAATAGAATAACAGATATAAAGAAAATACAAATATTACTAAGTGCTACACTATCTCTCGCAGTCTGAAGGAACACAGCACAAACATGATGATCCAAATACTTAATGTTTTTACTTTATATTTCATAACAAAATCAAATTATGTTCATATATATATATATATATATAGAAAGAGAGATAGATAACATCAGCAATATATATATATATATATATATATATATATATATATATATATATATATATATATATATATATATATTACGATAAACGTGCAATCAATTTACAAATTCATGAATTATTCACACAAAAACAAAAGCAAAGGTTAATGATTTAATTGGCGAGAAATCCATCATTCAAATAATATACAAAAACCTCCGAACAGACGAAAGCTTGTAGTAAAAATAAGAACTAATACGGCAGAAATTTATGGAAACAAGGATCAATTCATTCATAACGGATTCGGAGGTTTTTGTATATTATTTGAATTGTTTGCGATGATGGATTTCTCGCCAATTAAATCATTAGCCTTTTGCTTTTGTTTTGTGTGAATAATTCATGAATATATATATATATATATATATATATATATATATATATATATATATATATATATATATGTGTGTGTGTGTGTGTGTGTGTGTGTGTGTGTTTGCGTTTGCTGGTGTTGAAACAGTGCGTGATGTATAATAAAGGAGTTCAATTTTACAACGTTCAGCTTTTTTAAGCAGCGCCCGGATCATGCAAATTAGAACTGCGCTACCGATAATAACAATTTATTAGAAGTAGTTTAAATATTAGTTTTCTATTTTATCCAGATCTATTTCTACCTCATATATATATATATATATATATATATATATATATATATATATATATATATATATATATATATATAAATTAAGCATTTCACCTCAAGTAAAGGGTGTGCATCAGGGAAGCAAGTAAGTAGAAGAGCTTCCTCAGTCAGGGAAAAACAAAATGTTGGAGTATTAGTGGCAGTTACATTTTACTATTGCAACAGTAAAAGGGTGGTACCTAGACGCTAATCTAGTAGCACTCTTAAATTCATGTACTCGCGGAACCAGGAAATAAAAAAAGTTCTTCAGAGGAGCTGCCATGACAATGTATGTAGAAAAGACAGCGGGAAGTGACATCACGTCTGTGAGAAAGTGATTGAAGTCGAGATACCAAGTCAGGATCTTTTAAACTGAGAACCTTCTTTGGATTTTGTCAAGAATATCGAGATGAAAATCAGGAGTACCTGACCAGATAAGTCAACCGTATTCAATGCACGGACGAATGGTAGATTTGTAGATGTTTATAACGGACTCTCATGAGAAAAGACCTTCTGACACGACAGACATAACCAACCTTCCTTGCTACAGATTCAGCTATTTATTCAATATAGATATTACATTAACAACTTTAGGCCAAATAAGCGCTGTGAGACGGTCTCTATGAATCGAGCATAAACCTTGCTGATGGTGGGCAGGGAATGTTCTTTATGGTAGTTAAATCAGAGCAGTTTTTTTTGGTGGCATTATAATTAAATTATTAGTATTATAATTATTGGTTTTCTTTTTCAGCTACACTTACGTCAATGTTAAAGCAATATGTGATAAAAATATATTCATATTAAAACGATAGGAAAAAGATGACCGATTTAATAAAAAAACTAAGCATTTGTAATTAACTGAGCTAACATGTAAACTCACAGCTGAAAGATATCGAACAGTACGGGCTGTGTTTTTCCCCCTCGACGAAATTGCTCGCGCAGCTGATGCTTATTGATATGAACCCAACTGATACGGGTTCTTTGCCTGTAGATTTCGTCGCATCTACAAGAGTTCAATTATTTCGCTAAACACCGTAAAGGTGGGTGAAGCAATACTTCCATCTTTACAATGGCTGCCAAATTTAAGCTACATCCCTGAATCAAAGTTTCTGTGCAGATTTTCAAAATTACTAATGTGTGTAATCATTTCGACACAGGCAAGAAAATATAAAAAACGGTGGTTACTGAATTTGAGACAATATAAGAACACGAAAAACGTTATCAATGAGAGAAAACAACAAGAAAATGACAAAATATAATGATTCACATTGTGTTTACATTTTTGAAGATCAAACCTGTCTGGAAAGCGAGAATCTAGAAGAGAGATCCATACTCAAGGAGTGCGAAGTAAGACACTGTTAACATAGAACTTACGGTTACATCTACGCATTTCAAGTGTAAATTTATCAGACCTTGCTGTCAGTATAATCAGTCAGTCAGTTATCTGCCATGCATGATACACACTTATGTGATCATGTATATTTCGATACATGACTGACGAGGGAGATTTTTCCCACAGTAGGTTGTCAATTCTTTCTGCGGTAGACCAGATGCCATCTAAGGCTAGAGAACTCAGTCTGTCCTGCTATTTTTCGATAAATGGGTGAGAAGAAGAGGATTCATACCTTTCCCAACGGTAATGAATATAATGGAGTCAACTGAAATTCGAACACAGCACTCCGATTCCTCAATCCGAGCCGCTATCCACTACTCCACCGTTCTTATCCTTAAATAAAAAGACTCTAGTTATTAAAATGGAAAGTTCATCGGGACAATTTACAATGAAAATATTTATAGAATATGCGCAGGGAAGTTACGTTTCGGTGGTGAGAAAGTGACTAAAACCAAGATGACATACCAGGACCAATAATATTGCAGATTCTTTGCTTTTTTATCAATGCACACTAAAACACATATCAGAAGTAGGTAAACTTCTAATTAATGTAGATGAAACTCTGATTCGTTCTGTTTCACTTATATTCAGTATTTCCGGTGGTGAATGAAATTCTCCAAACCCACTTTCTTTAATATATGTCCCAGAATATTCAAATGGCTGATTGGGATTCTAAATACGTGTATAGATTTTTCTACAATTATCCTTATATTGTTATATTTACTCAAATTTTATGCCCACATTATTCACAATATTATATAATTTACTTTATAATCAAAATGTTCCGTTCTTCTCCAACATATAATATTTGTTATTACCAGTCAGTTTCATCGACGATCAGCTTGAGGATATAAAATGGTGTGTGAGAAGCGTTTCATTCGAACTTACAAATTGATCAAAACGTGGGGTCTTACTCGAGGCGGTTGCAATCCTTCTTTGCAGATTAAAAGCACAGTAAAAATGAGTGGTCAGCTTGATGCCCAGCTGTTCAAAACTTTGCTCAGAGGATGTCCAAGTGGCCATACTGTGCGTTTTACGCTTACAGGCTACAGTATGGCATCATACGAATCGGCTCTAGTCGAAGTGAATTAATGCCGACGGGCAAAAGACATGAAGGAATATTGATTTACACACAGAACAAGAATGAGAATCTCTTTAGCATGAGAATGCTTCCATAGTGATATTAGATTCATGAGGAATACATTTTTCATGGAGATAAATATAAAATCAAAAAGGCAGAATCGAAGATACGCCAAATGAAAGAGATTTACGAGAATGACAGAGAAGGAATGAAGCGTGAATGTTAAATAAATGAAATGGAATAAGAATAATAGTAAAAGTCTAATATAACAATGAAAGAGAAGAAGGAAGTGTGAGACTGATGGGGAAAGATTCGAAAGTTAAGAATGAAAAGGACAAAATAGATCCTCTGTGATAGCAAATAAATAAAGAATTAATGATGGCTAGTATAAAAACGAATGGATATCAGGAAGAAAAACGAATGGAACAAAATATATAAGAATAAGATAATATGCAATGAAAAGAAAGAAAATGGAAGAAGTAAACTGAAGAAGGAAAGATTGAAGGAAAAATTAACGAACAAATACAAATGAAGAATAGAATAATTTGAAGGGAAAAGAAAGAGGAATAAACAACTGAACCAAAAGAAATGATGAAGGAAATGGATCAATGAAGGAATGATAAGAGAAGGAAAGAAGAAAGGAAGGAAGGAAAGAATGAAGGAAGGAAAGAATGAAGAAAGGGGGGAAAAGATGAGGGAAGGAAGGAAAGAATGAAGAAAGGAAGGAAGGAAAGAATGAAAAAGGAAGGGAGCAAGGAAAGAATGAAGAAAGGAAGGAAGGAAAGAATGAAGGAAGGAAAGAATGAAGAAAGGAAGGAAGGAAAGAATGAAGGAAGGAAAGAATGAAAAAGGAAGGAAGGAAGCAAGGAAAGAATGAAGAAAGGAAGGAAGGAAGGAAGGAAGAAAGGAAGGAAGAAGAGAAGGAAGGAAGGAAGGAAGAAGGAGGGAAGGAAGGAACAAACGAACGAAAGAATGAAAAAAGGAAGGAAGGAGGCAAGAAAAGAATGAATAAAGGGAGGAAGGAAGAAAGAAAGAAGAGAAGGAAAGAAGCGAAAGAAAGAAGAAAGGAAGGAAGGAAGGAAAGAATGAAGAAAAGAAGGAAGGAAAGAAGGAAGGAAGGAAGGAAGGAAAGAAGGGAAAGAAGGAAGGAAAGAGGGAAAGAAGGAATGAATGGAGGAAAAAGAAGGGAAGGAAGGAAAGAAAGGAAGGAAAGAAAGGAAGGAAGAAATGAAGGAAGGAAGTAGGGGAGGAAGGAATAAATAAATAAAACGAATAAATAGCAGGACAATAGAAAAGAAAAAAAAGGAAAGTAAAAGTACCTCGAATGAAACAACGGACATAAAAATCGAATACCACAGAATGAGAAGAATGAAAATTGAACGAGAAAAGAAAGAGAAAAAGTAACGTAAAAAGAAAACAAAAAAGAAAGAATTAATGAAGGAAAGAAGAAAAACGAATGAATATTGGGGAGAAAATAAAATAAAACAAAAATCGTAAGAATTGGTTCTTATATAATGAAAAGAAAGAAAAAAGACGAAAGAAAGAAATAAAAAAAGGAATAAAGAACGAAAAAAAAAAGAAAGAAAGATACGATAACGATGATCTAAAGTTTTCGGTGTATTCTTCAGTAAGTCGAAAAATCTTGTCAATTTTATATATTTACCTTTTTACACTACTTGAAATAATGAACTGCATTCATATTTATCATTGTTATGGCTATATTTTCTGTAAATGATATAGCTGAAGTATTTAAAAATGCAATAGAGAATTTTCCACTGGGATTCTAGAGTCATATAATTTGTAAGTGGATTATTCATTAACTTGATTATGATTCATTCGAAAATTAAAAAAACAAAGACATGATTAACGTATGACAAAAAATAAATAAATAAATAAATCCGGTATTGATTTTATATTTATATTTCATTATTCAAACGTTATATTTATTAAATAGGCGTGTGAGGAGACATGTGTTCTTTTTAAACATTATACAAATAAAATGCGTTTTCTCAAACACGTATATCTGATAATTATAACATTGAAAACAATAAGGGGAATGCGTAGTTAAAAATAACACCTGTTAATTCCTTAGGTCTATAAACCATTAACGTCCACCATCCCAGAAATGGAATATTGGACATTAATCGTAAAGAGAATGAATAAAGCAATGATTAAAAACTACTGAATAACTGGAAGAAAATCGAATGAAATTGAGAGCGTGCGAATAGAATAATTTTACATGATAAGAAAGAAAAAAAAAAGAATCATAATCAAATGGGAGATAGGAAGAATATAACCCCCCCCAAAAAAAAACAACCGAAAGAATATTGCATCCTAGGTATGAGGAAAAACTACGTTCGCGTCCTGGGTTAGACGATAAACTACATCCGCGTACTGGATATGACGACAAACTACGTCCGCGTCCTGGGTAAGAAGATAAACTACATCCGCGTCCTGAGTACGACGATAAACTACGCCGCGTACTGGAAAAGACGATAAACTACGTCCGCGTATTTTATAAGAATATAACCTATATCCACATCCTGGGTAAGAGGATTAAATTACGTCCGCGTCTTGAGTATGACGATAATCTACGTCCGCATTCTTGGTAAGACGTTAAACTACGTCCGCGTACTGAGTAAGAAAATAAAGTACATACACGTACTGGGTAAGGTGATTATACTACATCCGCGTCCTGGACATGAAAAAAAACTACGTCCGCATCCTGGAAAAGACGATAAACTACCTCCGCATGTTTTGTAAAAAGGTAAACTACATCCACGTCCTGGGTAAGAGGATTAAACTACGACCGCGTCCTGGATATGACGATAAACTCTGTCTGCGTTCTGGGTAAGACGATAAACAACGTCCGCGTACTGAGTAAGAAGATAAACTATATCCACGTCCTGGTTAAGAGGATTAAACTACATCAGCGTCCTGGGTATGACGATAGACTACGTCCGCGTTCTGGGTAAAACGATAAACTACATCAGTGTCATGGGTATGACGATAGACTACGTCCGCATTCTGGGTAAGACGATAAACTACATCAGCGTCCTGGGTATGACGATAGACTACGTCCGCATTCTGGGTAAGACGATAAACTACATCAGCGTCCTGGGTATGACGATAGACTACGTCCGCGTTCTGGATAAGACGATAAACTACATCAGCGTCCTGGGTATGAAGATAGACTACGTCCGCGTTCTGGGTAAGACGATAAACTACATCAGCCTTCTGGGTATGACGATAAAATTCGTCCGCGTCCTGGTTAAGACGATAAAATACATTCGATCCTGTGTATGACGATAAACTACGTCCGCATACTGGGTAAGACGATAAACTACTTACAACAGCAACGCATCGGATCAGGAGCTTTTGAGAAGCGTGAAATCAACTTTCAATTGCTGGTGTTCCCAGGTCCATCTTGACCCCGGGTGGTATCACATGTTAGGATCCGAACGATGGGCAAATAATTAACCACCAAACTCAGGTAGAAACTCTATGAAAGTGTAAAAATAGGATTTAATTCCAGCTCTAAATATTTTGGAGTAAAATTTTTTACCAGCAATACATATTTGAGGAAAAAATATTACCAGCCATACATGTTTGTAAATAATTATCACCAGCAATACATTATTACCAGCAATATATTTTGAAGAAAAAAATAATACCAGCAATATATTTTTGAAGCAAAACATATTACCAACAATATATTTTGTAAGAAAAAATATTACCAGCAATACATTTTTGAAGGAAAAAATATTATCAGCAATACATTTTTGTAAATAATTATTACCAGCAATATATTATTACCAGCATATACGTTTGAAGAAAAAATATTACCAGCAATACATTTTTAGAAAAAATATTACCAGTAATAAAATCTTGTCGGCATTAAATAAGTGATAATGAGTTTGATATGCCGTAAAACAAAACAAACCAAACCATGCAAATGAATTATGAAGAAATATATGCGATAATATAAAATAAAGAGAAAGAAAATAGTAAAATTGACGACTAAAAGATAGAAAAGAAGAGAAATGAAAATGATTGCGATAGGGAAATAATAAAAAAAATAGTAGTTTAGTCTGAAAAACTACAACAAACAGGAATACATGAAACTGAAAGAATGAGAATAAAATATTTCCAATGAAAAGTGAGATATCTAGAAAAATAAAAAAAAAATGAAAAAGTTAAAAGATGGCGAAGATGAAACATAAAAAACAAAAATCGAAAGGAGGAGCGGACTTATTAAAAACATCAATAGAAATACGAATTAAGATTGACAAAACTGAATAAGCATATACGGACTAATAAGAAAAGACAAGGAATACAAAACAAATTAAAATAAAGAGGGGCAAAGAAAAAAAAAAGAAAACCAAAGAAAAAGACAAATAAATTAAAAAAGAAAAACAAAGTAAAAGCAATTAAAAAAAAAATTAAAAAAAGAGAAACAAAGAAAAAAAGAGAAACAAAAAAAGGAAAACAAAGCAAGAATAGACACAAACAATGAGGTAACAAAATGAAGATAATTTGAAAGGATAGATGTTAGAATGATAGAAAGTAAATGTATATGAACGATGGAGCAGCGAAATGCTTTAGATAGATAGATAGAGAGAGAGATAGACATACATATATACATACATACATAAATAGAAATATTAAATAGAAGAAAAGGAAACAAATACAAGTGAAGAAATGAAGAGAGATAAATATTGAAATTAGGAAGAGGAGGTGAAAAAAGGTCATAGAAAGAAAAAAAATAAAACAGGAAGAGAAATACAAAACAAAGTAAGGAAGAAGAAATATTATCAAATTTGGAAGAAGAGCTGAAGAAAGAAAAAGGAAGAATTAAATACAGGTAAAGAAATATTGAAGATTTTAAAAGAAAGAAAGAAAGAAAGAAAGAAAGAAAGAAAGAAAGAAAGAAATGAAAGAAGAAAGAAAGAAAGAAAGAAATAATGGAAAGAAAGAAAGAAAGAAAGAAAGGAAAAAGAAAGAAAGAAAGAAGAAAAAAGAAAGAAAAAGAAAGAAAAAAGAAAGAAAGAAAAAAGAAAGAAAACGAAAGAAAGAAAGAAAGAAAGATAAAGAAAGAAAAGAAAGAAAATGAAAAAGAAAGAAAGAAAGAAAGGAAAGAAGAAAGAAGGATGTATGGAAAGAAAGAAAGAAAGAAAGAAAGAAAGAAAGAAAGAAATGAAAGAAGAAAGAAAGATATATGGAAAGAAAGAAAGAAAGAAAGAAAGAAAGAAAGGAAAGAAGAAAGAAGGATGTATGGAAAGAAAGAAAGAAAGAAAGAAAGAAAGAAAGAAAGAAAGAAAGAAAGGAAAGAAGAAAGAAGGATGTATAGAAAGAAAGAAAGCAAGAAAGAAAGAAATGTTAATCAAGGAAAATGAAACAAATACAAATTTAGAAAGGAAGAAAGAAATATAATCAACTTAGAAAAGAAGGGGTGTAAAAGAAAAAAGAAAGAAAGAAAGAAATATAAAAAGAAAAAGAAAGTAAAAGAAAAATACAAAATAAATAAGGACAAAAAATATAATCAAATTAGGACGAAGAGGCGAAGAAAGAGTAAAGAAAAAATACAAAATAAATAAACATAATAAAATTAGGAATAAGAGTTGCCAAACGTAGTAAGGAAGAAATAGAAAATAAAGGAAAAAAAGAAAGAAATAACTATAAGCAATTAATGAAAAACAGTTGAAAAAAGAAGAAAAAAGAAAGCATGAATGAATAGGAACAAAAAATTTAGCAAACATAAATATATGAAAATAAATATAGAAAGAGAGAAACGGACAAACAAGGAGCGATATATTTAAAAGGTTATTTTCACCCCAAACAATTCAACAGGGCCACTAAGACGCAGGGCGTTATTGTGTATGAAAGAAGATAAGAAATACATTATTACGGAACAAGTTTAAAATAGCATAAATTAAAAAGACAGAGTGTAACGATTAAAAAGCATATATATTTGTAGATAAAACTTGCCTAGAAAACAAGAAGTAGGAAGAGAGTTCCACAAACGAAAAGTTCGAGAGAAGAAACTGTTAGCATAGTACTTACGGTTACATTAAGAGATTTCAACTGTAAAAAGATGAGACCTTTTTCTACTGGCTTTAAATTCATAGAGACGATGTGAACTAGAGGATAGTTCAAAGAATAATTACTATTAAATTATTTGTGGAAACGGCATAAAGAATCTACATTAAAACGAGGGGAAAAGGACTAAAGTTAAGATGTATATGAGAATTTCAAAATGGTGGGTAAAAAAAGTAAAATAACATGCAGAAATGAATAAAGAAAATTAAATTATATAATGATATCTTCCGCCAGGGTGAAAGCGATAGTATCATTTTTTTTTTTTTATTAAATGTGAACAGCCACGAATTTAAACGAAATGTAGGTGAGCACTTATATTCCGATTTTGCCTTCTTCTAGGGTAGGTCATAGTGTAGATATCTCAGTCGATGACTCACGTGAAATGGATTCTTGTCTTTTCTAAGGACCCTTGTTAAATGGTAACAAAACAGACAAGGCATGAATGTGAACTTGGCTTTCTGCATGCACTTTCTTCATATCCACGAAAAGTCGGCGAAAATAAGCTCTATGACGCAACCGAAGAAAAAGAATGATGACGTGAAAAACGAAAAACATGGATAAAAAAAAATCTGAGCGAGAAGTGAATTACGAAAATACTTTAATAACAAGAAATAATGAATTAAACATGGAAATAAAGAAAAAAATCGAAAAGAATAAAAAAGAAATATCAATGTAGCTGAAAAAATAACATGCATGAAAATTACGGAAACGAAAAAGCCTTAAAAGAAACTAAATGCTTTCAATCAGAAAAAAAAAAATGTGGCGAATGACAGGCATTTTTTTCTATAAAGTGTGTAAAACAAACAATGAATTGAGGATTTCGTTCGAAGCAGCTTGGCAAATGCTTGCCTCGAGCGAAAATGGAAGACAACAGCGATCGACCATTCTGCATAGTGAACATCTTTACGCCCGATGACAAGACGAGATGCTCAGAGTAATAATTGTCCGGTACCTCGCTGAGAATCGGCTAATAAAACCCTTGCGGTCAAGCGTTAGTGGCATTTTCAATTAACTTGTTTTCTGTGTTCATAACACACCAAGAATACTTATACAAACATCTATCTATCTATCTATCTATCTATCTATGTTTGTGAACCAATCAATTTATTTGTATACGATTAGGTATATTTTTCCGTTTCCAGTGTGATTTTGAACATAGATTTTTCCATTGACTTCTGTGCGCTCTTGAAATATAAAGTTATGATAAAGGTTTTTTTTTTCTGGATTGATATTGTTATGATTATAGATACGCCTATTATATCCTGTGTAGTGTTCCAAAAATTTTCGAATTACTTCACAATAATAACTATAACAATACTGATTATATATATATATATATATATATATATATATATATATATATATATATATATATATATATATATAAAATAATGCAGGTTTATTAATATTGTAAAGTAGTCATTCAAAGAATAAATAAATAAAGTTAATTAATGGCGAATTCACTTCGCTAACAAATTGAATAAAGCATTAACTCACTGACCACTCGCTTAACGACACGATAATTGTTTTTATTAATTGTAAAATGGATTAGATGTTCGATCTATATTGTAAGTACTTTCGGTAAAAACGTTTACCATCCTCAGGCATAGATGTTATTTTTTCTCAATTTCATGTAATTTCGGGTAAAATTTCGAAGACGGAATTGAATGTGATACTTGTCGAAATATGTTTTATTAAAAAGTGTGGTATTATTAACAGTTAAAATTTTTTTCAGCGTTATAGTGTTTGTACGCTAGATTTTTGAGTATTGTATTAATGTAGTAATTCACCATTTTTGTTATTGTAAGTTATTAAACTTCGATGTTTCATAGAAAATATTCGTTCACCGACAGGAATCGACAGAATATTTTCTATGGAAATTTCTCGGACATTCAGGCCGGTAAATATTGTTTAATACTGTTTATTATAAAAACAGAGCATTTACTTAAATATTTGTATCTATGAAAAGAAAGCATAAACCTAAAAATATCTTAAAATAATTTTCGGACTTTGTTCATTTCATAATATGTCACGTCATTGGTTTACATTTGGATACGCTTTGAGCAGATATGAATTTGCGTGAGAGATTCATGGAAAATTGAAGTTTAAAAACTAAAATCGACCTTGTTAATCGAACGATTCTCAGTGACCTGATCGGTTAAGGCACGTCAGGATAATTGAGGGTTCAATTCCTATCGGAAAATGATATTAATACTGTTTATTACAAAAATAGAACCTTTACTTAAAAATATTTGTATCTATTAGAAGAATGTATAAAAAATAAAAATGTCTTATATATATATATATATATATATATATATATATATATATATATATATAATAAAAAGGCTTAAACACTAATATTTCATGCTCATAATTTATTCCATTGTAATTTTCCACTAATATTATATATATGTATATATATATATATATATATATATATATATAGATAAGTGAACATTGATGTCAACACTTAGAGGCGATAGGCTGTTTCATGCTAGATGCAATCGTCTAGCATGAAACAGCCTGTCGCCTCCGAGTGTTTCTCTTAGTAATAAGAGGACAACGAAAATATATGTATTGTTGTATCCGAAAATGCTATTGAAAATGAGTTATTGTTTTTGAACGCGCAAAAGCAACGCTGAATTTGATTTTAAATTTTTAAAGGTTGTGCGTTCATAATATGGTGATGAACAAATTTTTTACTGGTAAATTTTTCTGTCAAAGTGGCATTACTAAGAGAAAAAACAAGAACAACATCTATTCTATACCTGAAGATGTCTGTAGGAACAGACGAAAGTTTGTAGTAAAATAAGAACTAATACGGCAGAAATTTATATAAACAAGGATCATTTCATTCATAATGGATACGGAGGTTTTTCTATATTATTTGAATTGTTTTGCGATGATGATGGATTTAAATCATTCACCTTTGCATTAGTTTTTTTAAATCATATATATATATATATATATATATATATATATATATTTTATATATATATATATATATATATATATATATATATATATATATATATATATATATATATATATATATATATATATATATATATATATATATATATATATATATATATTAATGTATTTTAGTGTTTTCATGCAAACGGTGAGGAATAAAATTAATAGTTATTATTAGATATATATATATATATATATATATATATATATATATATATATATATATATATATATATATATATATATGGGGGTTTTGGCTGTATGTGCAATGTAAATACTTTTTCAAAATCAATGTCACCAAATTAATTCGGGAACACCAGAAGAGATCCATGTGAACCATTAATTTTCTATGGCATTCACTTTTTTTTTCCCCCGGAGTCAACACAGCTGGCAAATCATTTACTAGTTACTCATTATTTTATTAGCTTGAGAGCTGCGCATAGAAAGAAGGCAAATAAAATGAAATAATTGGTGTCACTGATAAATTATATGAAACAATTTCTAACTGTGCTTATATCCGTTGTTTGCTTCCTTATTCCTAAACCTTAAAAGTATTCAATGAATATAGATATGTGCAATATTTTCCACGGAGAATGATTTCGTAACCCAGTTGTTTTCACCCACTTTCATCACCGATGTAAATTTGAAATATCACGGCCTACCTTGATAACGATTTCCCGTTTTAAACCACTGAATCCGTTACTAGTACGGCCCTATAATAGGGGTCAATAGTTTAAATGTTTCACACTAAACCCGATTTAGAACATTCTCTAGCGATCTCTTTTCCTCGTCTTTTTGTAAAGAGTATAGCATGAACACATAAACTTTCCTCTGCTCATCGGCCAAAAATATTTATTTTGTCTGCAACACAATAAAGGGGAAGACGAACCATTTCTTGACGTTCTCGAATAAAAATTATTGTTCTTTAGTCATTTCTCCACTTATTGTTTATTAATATAAATTTCCCTCACTGTATCTGAATTCAACATAGAAATATAGACTCATAGCATTATTACTTAGAGTGTATCTGTATGGTTACAGGCAGTCTTCGTACGGTAGAGATTTTCCAAGCGTAGCTTAGATGTAGCGCAAGGCAAAATGTATGGGGCATCCAGCAAGGATCGAATTTACCTTTCAGTAGTAACTGATCAAGCAAGACAAGCTTGCTTACCATTACACCACGCCAAGGTGCCCAAAGTCCTCGAACGGTATATGGCGTCATACAGCATTATTAGTAATTTTTAGAATATACCAATTCCAGGAATCTAAAAACGCCACAGAGGAGAAAAATATCTTGCGTACCGAAAATGTTTTTGATAGACGAAAGTACTCGAATATAACCGAAAAATACATAGGTTTCTTTTTTCATCACGTTAAGAACTCGTTCGGAATTTTGAATGGTACACGTCTGTAAAAATTTAATAAATCATGTCCGGCTTTACAAGTTCTATCACAGTAATCCGTCGACGTCTATGCGTTTAATATTTTACTAAATTTTTTTCAACACTTGGAATATGTTGAACGTGACAGGATAATATTTGAAGATTGCATCAAAATTCAGAATTTTTTTATTGGTCCCGCATTAAATGTGCGGGACCAATAAAAATACTTTAAATTTTCATTTAAAAATAAACAGCGCGACCCTTGAACATATTGAACATTGTACCAAAAGCAACCCATTACGAATATCCAGACGAGAGAAATATTTATAAATAATAGTGAATTACTATAAAGTAATCATTGTAAAATAGAGTTATCTGATGCTAATATTAGACTAAATAAACGACATGTTTATTTATAACATGACTAGCAACCATACCCAGCTTGTCAATCAGAAAAAAAAGCATTCAATTAGAAAGGAACAAAAACAACATCATGTTTAGAGTTAACAGTGTCTATCTTCTTCAATTATTTTAAATTCATTAAAACACATTTTGAATTGATGTACTTACTGAGATAAAAGAAGTACACAAATTTACATTATTCGGACCATTGTCATCATCTTTGTCGCCATATTTATTATAACGTTTCGGCCGTTGTACTCTCCAGCCTTCTTCATGTGGTTGGACTATCTAACTGAACCCTTTATTTCGCTCACTGGTGTAGACTGTTCCAGTTCCACGTGCTATGTTTAATGGATGTCAGTTATAAATTATCTCTTGTCAATCTCCCTTTTCCAAGTTCTCCACTGCCTTAACCGGGTATTGAACTCACACTCTTTGGATCCTTTCACTGGATCTAACCATCGCCTGAGTCTGTATATTAATTCAATCGAAGTTAGCCGTGGACATGAAGGGATAAAACAAGCAACATGAAGACCCACTTCATACCACAATTGTTTTGGTGTTTTTGAAATTCAGTTTTTCAGTGTGCTACCAGGGATGTAAAAGGATATATTTATAAAGCAATTGTTATATTTGATGGAAATTGGTTGAAAGATCAACGAAAAATAAGAAAGAAACCATTAAAAATCGCAATTTATCGCTATTTACGCGAGTTTTCACTGTATTGGTGGACTCAATTATCAAGTTAAATGACTGATAAACAATCAACTTATTGTTGGCTACAATTTACTGAATTTTGTATTAGATTGCTTTAAAATTGTGGAAGATTTTAGTGTAAAATTTGTGTCGACATCGATTTTGCGTTTGCCGCGGTTTTTCGCTAAACGCAGTGGAGTAGAAAAAATAGCTATCGTTGATTTGGTCTTGTTGTAAGTAACCTACATACATATTTGATCGGATTTATCGAGTATTGAGTTTTAAAAATTATCGATTTTTTTACGCGAAGATCCCATCTCCTACATTTTGCAATATATGTGCTAATTTGGGTCAAAATCGTTTGGATGAATCTCGTGTGAAACGGTATCACAGACAGACAGACATCCTCTGTTTAATATATAGATATACATCATTAAATATT